AATGGGGCCCTCCGGGATGTACAGAAATTTGCAAGTGAGACTTGAATCACCTATAGTACATTCTAACGGGTTCAAAAAGGCTTGCTGTTCCGGCGATCCAGAGATTCCAGTCACCGCCACTGTTTGAGATGAAGGTTTAAGTTAGAGGGACATTCAGGGCAGAATAGGTGGCTCCCATGTCAGTCAGAAAAATCTATTTTTTGTCCCCCCACTATTAGTTTTTCCTGAGGCTCCTGGAGGAGTTTAGCCACTGACTGCCTGCAGAAGCGGCTGAGCCTCTGGGCCCTCCCTGTCGGTCCTCATCAAGATTAATTTCCTTGTTTAACTTCATAGTGGGCACCTTTTGCCCTTGTGTTTTTGGCCCTTACTCTTGCAGCATGCACACTGATCGGGGCCTAAGGTGCTCCTTCTTTCTTTCCCTGTTCTTTTGGCTCTCCAGGCCTTTGGTTTCCAGTTTGTCCCAAAAAGACAGATGCCATCTGGGTCTTTTTACTTTCCCTGTTACAATAGACCTTAAAAGCAATGTCAACTAGTTGGGGAGGATTCATTCCAGATGCCCCTTCATCTTTCTGTAGCTTTTTCCTAATATCTGGACCACTTGGGCAAATAAAAGTCCAGTTCACCATGCGAACATTCTCTGGTGCCAGGGGGTCTATGTCCATATATTTGTGGTAGGCCTGATAGATTCATTCCTGAAAAGCAGAGGGGTCCTTGTCCATTTTTTGCTGGACTGCTTGTACCATATTCAAGCTCTTCTGTTTGGGGACCCCTCTCCTGAGCCCCTTTTATAATACATCTTAGTACTTGAGCCAGGGCAATCTCCTGTCATTAGGATCCCAGCTGGGTTTGACTAATGGAACATGGGCCGGATCTTCCCGATGGAGCTGGTGTGCTCCCTCTCCAGCTTTGTCATTAACTAATTTCATCTTATTCCCAGTTAAAAGGATGTTAAACAGAGCCTGGATATTGGCCCAACTGGGATTATAAGTAGCAAAAATAGGAACAGTCAGGTCCATGACTTTGGTGGGATCATCCCGATAAGAGGGATTAGAATTCTTCCAATTAGGCAAACCCGAGGTAGAGAAGGAGGTGTGGGCCCATCGACTCCTGCTGCTTGTCCAGTTCCAGGGGCTCCTACTGGTTAATGGTAGAGTGGAAGTCGCCCTGCCAGGGAGGTAGCTTTATCCCCTCCAAACTGAGTGCCTTGCCTCATCCTTGAGGGAGACGGGGCAACTTCCATCTGAGAGCCCAGGGTAGGGGGAAGCCCCTTGTTCTTGGAGCACTCAGAGAGGGTGCCTCTTGGGTAGACTGCAAGGCAGCCTCTTCCTGCTCTTGCTCATCCCTGACCCTCTCTTCTTGATTCTTACTTTTTGGTCCTACCAGTACTGTATTTTTGCTCTGAACCATTAACTTAGTCCCTTCCTTGTTTTCATCAGAATCATAATTATGTAGTGACATAAAAGCCTGCACATATGGTAGCCCTCCTCACTTTCCTGGTCTTTGACAAAACCATTCCAGTTGTAATATGGTATGGTAATTCAAAGACCCATTCAACGGCCACCTCTCTCCAGAACCTAAAATATACAGAGGCCAAACAGTATTAGAGTAAAATACCATTTTCCTTTTTGTCATAGGTGGATATGCGGAAGTCGCCCAGTCTGACAGGATTAGTCCCAGTGGGCTGTCCTTTGGGACTGAACCACGTGCACCCATTTTCCAAGCAAATTAAACCAGATAAACAATAAAGACAACACAGCAACAGACAACAAAAACACTTCTGTATACAATAATTACAGATGCGCACAACAGACAGACAAAGGCTCATCCTTTTGTCTCTACGGCTAGACAGGGTGCCCTGTATCCAGGAGCCAATCGGGCTCAAGAAGAAACCGAACAGAGCAGTGTCTCTATGACCCAGAGCTGGGCTGGTTCAGAGACCAGGCAAGGGCCCTTGAGGCTGCTTGCAGCCTGGACCTGATCAGGCTCAACCCAGGTAGGAGGTGACAGATCCTCCCCTGAGAACGCATGATTCCACTTAAGCGAAAAGGCAGAGGTTGATGGGGCTGAAGGTGGGGCTCAACAGGAAAATTCCTGGTAGTGCTGCAAGTAAAGAAAAAGCCTCAGTTTCAGCCCCAGAACCCCCTGCCCAGGCAGCCAGCGGGACCACAGGTACTTACCCAGGAAAAAAATCCCGCTCGCCGTCCTGGCAGAGTTGCCAGATTTTGAAACTGGACACGAAAGGGGGTCCAAGGGCTACCTGTCGCTACTGGGCCAATTAGCAGAGACAAGGTTGAATCTTTTATGTGCATTTATTCCAATTGCCGGCAATCGGAGAGAGCAGCAGGTATGATACCTTGAAAAACTGCTCTAACAACTCCCGCCAGCCAGCCAGATATATAGGGGCAGGGAGAAAGGACGCTATGTGCAGGTGACCAGCGCAGCAGGGTGGGGGAGCAGGGTACGTGTTTATCGCTTCCCAGAATCTTCAAGTATGATGTCACAGCCGCCATCCTGTTCCTGGAATTGGAGAACAGACGGCATTCCTGAGGCAGACTGCCGGAGGGGTCGGCATCTGGGCCCAGTGACCGAGTCAAAGTGTTCCTTCTTTTAATCTTGGAAAGAACGGACATGATTTATAATATCTGTGAAATTACTAGTGCCGCACCCTGTTCCCTCCCTGCCCCCATCAAGTACACCCTAGTCCGAAAAGATTAGCTGATTGTAAAATTAGTGAAGTATTAAATTATACCTGATTTTCTGTTAAACAAGTTTGGTTTTGCTGTTCTTTAACATTTTTTTCTGAAATAACAATGTTTGTCTATATGCATTGACAATAGTGGTCTGTGTGGAAAAGGGGGGAAATGAATAAAACAGTGTATCCCATTTTCTTATTTTCAAGTGTGAAAACCAGTCCCTAATGAGATGTCCTCAAGCAGTGCTGCTGTTTATCAAAATATATGCCCTAGATCTAAGTGAGGACAGTGAAATGAGGACATTTAGATCAACGTAAAGTGGAAAAATTCAGAAGATTATAAAGCAACATATCTCAGGCCACAAGAACTAATTTTTGATGTCTCTTTTCTCTCCTCCTAGAGGAATAATTTTTGGAAGTGGTCAGTAAGGTTCATCGGAAGCATGTTTTAATATTTATTTTATTTTCAATTACAGTTTACATTCAATATTATTTTGTATTATTTTCAGTGTACAGCATAGTGGTTAGGCAATCGTGTACTTTACAAAGTGTTCCCCCCAATATTTCCAGTACCCACCTGGCACTATACATAGCTATTACAATATTATTGACTATTCAAGCTTCATTTGATCAGCCAATATATCAGAACAAGATCAGCAGTATCCTTTTGGATACAGAGATCAGTTCTGCTCAGACCTTCCTACGCAACGAGGTGATCTCTGACCTGTATATCTAAGTTACTGTGTATTTATTTCACACTCATACAGAAATCTTGATGAGAGAATCCAAGGATAGAAAATAAAATGTGTATAACTGAATGTAATTCCTTTTTATGAGTCTCCAATTTTGCTTGATTTTTGGTTTTGTTTTTAACAAGTAAACATAAAAAGATAACTAAATTAGAGATGGAGAATATATCCGTCTGTGATTTTTTCCCCTAGCTATCCTTTCTTGTAGGCTGTAATCTCATTTATTAGCCAATGAACGAATAAGAACTTTGCTGCTCCGTGTGCAGTGAATAACAACAGCCTAGTTGAAATCCTTTGTTAGAATATGAGACCTTTATCTCAAAAGCTGAATTTGTTATATACCTTACCATGCTTAATTCTTATGTTATTGTAGGATTATATTAGGAGACATTTTATTATTTCTGTTTGTGTTATATGTTCACACATATCTCAGTTGATCCTAACAAAAGACCCGGTTAGATACCGAGGCCTCATCCAGGGGCCTCTCCAGACTGCTAAACTGATTTGTCCAACATCACAGAGCAAAGCAGCATAAAATCAAACCTTAGCTCCTGTATTATCCTACACTTATTTTTCTCCTCAAATATTTCCTTAACCGTGTCCAACATCAAATGGTATAGATGCTCAGGAGAGCAAAGGAAATAGATGTGTGTAAGAGAAAGCTGACTGTGCCAACATAGAAAGAGGGAAAAGATCCTAATTAATAAATATTTACATATGAGCAGACTGCCACATAGAGTAGAAGGTAAGACTTGTGTTCTTTACATCTGGTAAGGTAAAAACATTCGTAAGGACTAGTAAGTATAGAGTGACATATCAGTTAATTAGAGTGATACATCAGTTGGAACAATTTTGTGTTCTTGAATTTCAGTGAGTTATAATAAACTTCATCTCTTATACATCTGTGACTTAGGAATATAGGATTGAAAACATCAAATATGCTAACTAATATGTGTAAGCTATTAGTAATCATAATGATGACTATATATTGTCAGTATGACGTTTTTTACCTCAGGTAATGCACCTCTTTCTTCGGTACACTGTCATATATATAAAGGAAAAGAATTCTTAACCCTAAACCTGTGTGCACCCTGCCAAATCTTTATACTCAGCATGGGACCTAATTATAAAGGGTTTGCTTTTACAGATGCACTTGTCCATCAGTTCAAAGGTACCACTGAAAACCAGAAACACTTAAAAAAAAAAAAGTAACATTCCAAGTGTGGCAATATATTTGGGTAATTGTATATCTTAATAAAAAATACTCACCATTTAGTGGCCAATAGAATAATCTAGTTTTTCCTTGGGTCTAGAGCATTTCTCATTAATTTTCTGAGACATTAGTATTAAGGATATTAAACTGAGAAAAGGCCACAATTTAAGAATTTTTAAGTGAACAGGAATGGAAAATATAACAGGAAAATGTAATTAAGAATGATATAAAGGAATTGTTTTCTGTATCAATTAGTTTCTCAAAGCCCAACAGCATGAAATTAATATAAGTTCTCCTAACAAATCATTTCATCAGTGTTTTTGCTTTTTTTTCTTCTCATTCCTAGACTGAAAAAGAAAAAACAAGCCAAACAAAATGCAGAGGCAGCCTCAGCTATAGCTACAAGGACTCATGCTGGAAAAGAAGATGTTAGTACAGTCATTTTAGAACAAGACAAGTGCAACATTTCTGTGGAAGAGGAATATATTACTGATGAGAAAAAAAAGAGAAAAAATAACCAGTTAAAGGAGATCAGACGCACAGAACTAAAGAGATATTATAGTATTGGTGAGTATTGGTGGCGATATTGCAGAATTTTCATTTTAAAAATCTACAGTAATTTTTAAGACTGATTTGTAACCGATCATAATAATAGTAACAGTTTATTAAGCAGCTACTATGTGCCAATGGCTCTTGCTTTCTATACGTAATCTTTTGTAAAGGGATGAAAATGAAATAACGTTGGTGTGCCTTATTCCAAACTTTGTGTTTCTGTCATCTAGCACAGTGCCTAGCAGATAGTGTGTGCTAATAATTTGTCAAACAAATGGGCACTTTCCCTGTATGAGAAATGTTTTTTGTAATATGCATACATAGTCATAAAAATGTTGGTAGAAATGCGTGCACCTTTGGCGTTAGCTAGGCAACAGAAAATAGATGGAGACATGGCCAAGCATCTGTCAGTTTAAAAAAAAAAGATAACTTGGGAAGTTTCGTTAGGGGAATCACAGTGTTCAGCAGCTTCTCAGAATAGCCATTGCATCTGAAACTGCATTAGCAAAAGTGGCATATCTAGCATGATGAAAGTGATGATCCTGATTTACTTGGATCATCCATCTCACACCTAAGGCTCCTGTCACATGCAGGCCAGGAGTATGTTCAAAAGAGAATGCAGCCCGGCTGGGCGTGGCTCAGCGGTTGAGCATCAACCTAGGATCTAGGAGATCGCTGTTCGATTCCCGGTCAGGGCACATGCCCGGGTTGCAGGCTTGATTCCCAGTTGGGGGCGTGCAGGAGGCAGCCGATCAATGACTCTCATCATTGATGTTTCTGTCTCTCTTTCTCCCTCTCCCTTCCTCTCTCTGAAATCAATAAAGAAACCTTAAAAAAAGAAAGAAAGAAAGAGAGAGAGAGAGAGAGAGAGAAAGAAAGAGAAAGAAAGAGAAAGAAAGAAAGAGAGAGAGAGAGAGAAAGAGAGAGAGAAAGAAAGAAAGAAAGAAAGAAAGAAAGAAAGAGAGAGAGAATACAAAGAAGGGGAACCATGAGTCAAACAAAACCAGTTGTGGCATACAAGTTACAGTATACTCAAGATGCTAGACTGAGAGAGAGGACTGAGGGGTCTCCGAGAGCCTGTTGCAATACAGTACCTGAAACATGGTCTGAGAGCAGAGACTTATTCCAGGGGGCCTCAAAGTTGGGTCATGTTTAATGCCAAAGTTACCAGGAGACAGGTCTTGTCTCCATGTTTAATGTAACTTTCTTATGGTGCACATCAAATGGACTGCCTTTGGGTGGTGATAAGTGAGGCTGTGCTGACATTGCTCCAACAGAGGCAGATGAGGTATCTATAGCAAAAAGCGCGTGGGTTCCAGCATTCCAGTGGGCTAATGTGAAATTATACCGTATATTACACAGCTTCGTGAATGCTTTTAATCTCAAGCCATTCAGAATTTTATAAAAAACTGTAACTGCGAACCTATTGAAAGACACTTCTGTGTGATCAGTAAACTTCCTCTTAAACTTTAAAGTGTATATATCCCTTATCTCCAAAAAGAGAAAGAAGATCAAGGAAAGTTTCATTTTACATCTTCATTTGCAGACGATATTACACATTGGACATTTGAAAATGTGTGGTTTTTATAGTTGTGCAGTTTATAATACAGGGTGTAGCAAAAGTAGGTTTATAGTTCGTATGGAAAATAATGCAATAATTAAATAATACTACAAGAATAAACTATTTCATGTACTCACAACTATAAACCTACTTTTGTCCCCCTGTATGAGTTTTGTCCATCCTTACTTCAAATGCTGTTGCTCAAGAGGTATTTTAAAGTGGAGACATTTAGCTCTGTGGGTTTCCCTGAAGGAGGCTGATAGTCCTACCCGATGAGGTTTCTTTTTAGTGGTGATACTACACAATTGTGGATGCTGCATTAGGTTGCTTTTTAATGTGATGCCCTCTGTTGCATGTGTAACACTTTGAGTCTGAAACAATACCCTTCACTCTTAACTCTTTCTTAACTTCACAAAGTCAGCTCAGTCATCATTTCTTCCATGAAGCCCTTCCTGCCCCCATTCAGGTTAAACTTCCCTTCTGTGGATCTATTTACCTGCTTCCCTATTTATGGGCTGTCATGACTCAGACCCTGTATTTTAAACTTTGTGCAGTATCTAAGGCATTATAGGTGTTATTTAAATGTGCATGAGTGGATGAATTAATCTGTAGATGAATGAATACTCTTTTTGATTTGTTTGAATTTTATGGAAATTCTAGATATATGTAGATATATGACAGTACAATAGTTGGGTCAGAAATATCCTGTGATTATATTCAGTAGCAATAAGGAAAGAGATGCCATCATAGCTTTTCATCTGCTCTCAGGAATGGCAGTGATAACAGTGGTTGGAGGCTTGGGCATTTCCATAGGAGAGTCCAGTGCTTAGATGAAACTACTAGGTGGGGCTTTGAGTTCCAGGGTTCCTTGTTCTTTTCGTATCTGACTCTAGCTCACAAGCCCATCTTGGCAGGTTTGCTTGATCTCACAGGGCTGACCTGCATGTTCCCTGGGTTCCTGTCCCAGGATGTTGTTCTGTACCACTAGGTGGAGCGTGAGGCTGCAAGTGAATGGTAATCCCAGTTCTAGTTCACCGCTTTGGGTGGCTCTAGTCTGAGGAGAAGTCACTAAAATGGGAGGCTCTTGTCTGTCACACTAAGGATTGGGACTTTATCCCTTGGGGGAACTCCATCAACTCTTTGTTTTGAGATGACAAATCTAAGGATAATGGGTGGAAGTGAGCTGACCAGGCTGTGGGAGACTGGGTCAGATGAGATAGGCACCCGGGAGAGACATTTTTCTCTTAGAAACATTAGTATTTGGTGTGTGAGGGAGAAAAAGAACAGTCAAGAATTTTCAGACGAGAAAACTCAGGAAGGAGGAAAAGAAGATGTATTTGTTAAGAGATGTTTTTGAGGTTCCAAGTGGATTAATCTGGAGGAGCCTAGATTTCAGGGGAAAGGTGTGGAAATTGCTCCTTACAGATATGAAGTCAATCAATAAGTGTGAACAAGTCATCCAGGTAACACACAGAGAGAAGAAACAAGAAGTTCATGGATGACAAATGATAATAAATTTATAGGAAAACAAACTAGAAGGATCTATAGCAATATGTTGATAATTGTTTTCCCTGGGTATAGAAGTTGCAAGAGATTTGGTTTTCTACATTTTTTGTTGCATAGTACACATTTTATAGTTAGTTTTAATATTAATCAAAAAACATAGAGAACTGAATAATATAATGGAATAAGCTTAAGGGCTTTGCCGAAAGAACATTAGGTAAATGTAAAGTTCTGTAATCATTATAAAAGAAAATACTTTCTGTAGCTATCTGCTTCCACATCTATAACATTACCTACCTGATCTAAGGAAGCATACTTTGACAAAATAATATTTTTACTTTTTACATTAGGTTTATCTGTGCCTCATATAAGCCTTGGCCAATAAATTCATTGCCATTTCCTGGCACTTTGAAGGATAGAAGAGTTAAGATACTGATAAACGATGTTATGGAAAGATGGTGTCACTAGAATTGCCTTATTGTAACAAAATAGTGCTGATTCTAAAAATTTATCACCAACTGGCTATGAATCAGAGGTTGCCACACACCCCTCCTTGAGTTCAGTTAATTTGCTGGAATGGTTCATACAGCTCAGAGAAACATGTTACTAGGTCACTGGTAAAGGGAACAGCCACATGGAAGAGATGCATAGGGCAAGGTACACAGAGCTTTCGTGCCCTCTCCAAGCTGTCACTCGCCCCACATCTCCAGGTGTTTACCAACCTGGAAGCTCTCTGAACCTCAACCTCTTGGTTTTTATGGAGGCTTCAAACACAGTCATGATTGATTAAATCTTTGGCCATTGGAGATTGAGTCACCCTCTAGCCCCTTTCCTCTCCCTGGAAGTCAGGAGTTGGGACTTGGAAGTTCAGCAGTCTAATCACAGTGGTTCCATCGGCCACCAGCTGCCATCTCTAGGTACTTTCTAAAGGTCACATCATTAACATGACAAAGGACAGCTTTATTTTCAACACTCAGGAAATTCCAAGGGTCTTAGGAGCTGTGAGTCAGAAATTGTGGATAAAAACCAAATATGTATTTATTATGAATCACAAAATCGCAATTTCCTGTCATTTACTTACAGAAAGCCAAAGCTATGTTATTTTGAAAAGTTAATTCCCAAACTTATAAGTAGGTCAGGCTGTTACAGGCAGCTCAGAGACCCTAGAAAAGCTGTTAGAGGACAGCCCAGTGAGTCGGAGGGAGAGAGCTATCCCCTCCTCTGTTCTTGTTTTCTCGTACAAATGAAATTAAATGAATGACCTTGATTGTGTTGTGATAAAGCCAATTTATTAAAGCAAGCAAATTTATTAAAGAAGCAAGGTAAGTGAATATATTTCATCCAGCCCAGAGCGCAGGTCAGCTTTCTCGGAGAGTCTGGAGAAAGTGAGAGCTGTGGGGATTTGAGGAGTTATATACCCTTCTGTCTATAGTTTTCAAAATTCCTCTCCTGAGTATCTTGGTACAGATTAATTCTCAAGGTCCCATTTTACTTTGTTGCGGCCTTCACAGAATTAATGAGAAGTACCTGGCAATTTTATCTTGCCAAGCCTTGAGACTGCTGGGTTCTCTGTTTAGGGAATAAAAATAATAATAATAAAACTGTCTTTTTTCTTTTTTCCTTTCCCCTACCACCCCTCCTTTCTGCTGTCCTTAGCAGTTCTAGGGTGATTTACACTATGTATTCTTTGCTTACATTGAGATTCCTGCTCTTCTCCCCCTTCCCTTCCCCCTCCTTTTCTGCATTTTTTGATTAGTTAGGAGAGGGATATTAGCCATTTGCTCTAAAGTGTCCTTGGCTGGGAAGATAAAGGGCTTGCAATTTATAAACTGGCTGCAAATTGCCCACACTGTTTGGCCTTGTTTAATCATCATCTCTCAGTTTCCCTATTCTACTTACCCTGGAATTTTTCTAGTTTTTCATTGTCCTATAGCAAAGCCATAGACATATA